CGGCGCCCTAGTTCAATTCTTCACATTTTGGCCCTTTTCGCTCCAAATTCGCTCTTTTTTGCATCTGTTTGTTCCAATGACCCTATTTCATCATTCCTGTAACAAAACATCAAAAATACCTTCCTTTAAAGTGCAATATCATCAAAAACCTTTAAAGTTTAAAGTGCAATATCATCAAAAATAGTATAAAATAAGTATGAAAATCTCAACATATTTTCCTCTGGTCATCACACTTCGATTCCTCTATCACCTTTCTAAAGCTTCAACATATTTTCCTCTGGTCATCATTGAGCCCCTTATTCCTTCCATTCTCTCCAACCTTAAGCTCCCCCAAGGCAAGCACCTGCTTGCAGATACTCCAGAGGTCATTGAGCGCATCCTTAATAGCAAGCAGGATTCATATGCCCGCCATAATGCCTTCCTCATAACTTCTTACATTGAGTACTCAAAGTTCATTAATTTTTCCCAACGCATAACGTCGTAATGCCTTTCTGAGGCTGAATCTAGCAAATTCGATAATCCAAAAAAAAATTCCAACAGTCAATCTACATTCCCTTCTTCGTCGGTTTCATCCCTGCTGCCTAAACCTTCATCCATCTTCTCTCTAGGACAAAACACATGGCAGACAAAACTCAAATTTCAGTCAAGTTTGAATTTTGAGTCTTCTTGTAGGCACTACAAAAACTGTAGTCAAAAGCAAACACAGTTGTCTACTTGTTGAAACATATGACAGACAAAACTCAAAATTCAGCCAAGTATGAGTTTTGTGTCTTTCTACAGGCGCTGCAAAAACTACAGTCAAAAGATAATCACTGTTATTTACTTCCGTGTGAACTTCTCTACATCATTACATGTAGAAGCTTTCAGTCTACCTACAGACACTGCATGAACTCCAATCAAAGCAATCAAAATTGTTAACTTCCCTGAAAATTCCCTACATTAGTACAAGTAGGAATTTTCTGTCTATCTACAGGCACAGCAGAAACTACAACCACTACTGTCTACTTAATTGTAAATTCCCCTGCAACATTATCTGTAGGAACCTTCCGGCTACCTACAGACACTACATTAATTGCAGTCAAAGGCAACCGCAATACAGGATAAATACTTCAAGTTCTACTTCACAGGATCTTTCTTGCCCATTGTTTGATGTTTTCAAATTCAAGTTGAACGTGATTTTCAACCATATTTTAACTTGAGGGGAAGTGTTAGAAATTATATTAGAAAATAATTTATTTTTGTAAGAAGTTATGATAAATAAATTATTTTCTTAGATTAAAGAGATATTACATTTCCTATTTTATATTTATTTTCTTGAATTAAAAAATATTTATTTCCTATTTTATAAATTAATTATTAGAGATATTAAGTGATATATCTTTCATTTCATATCATTTTCTTTTTATTATTTTTTATATTATATGATTCTTATAAATGTTATTTATACTATCATTCATATCAATGAAATAATTCAAAATTTCATAATAATCCGCATTATTCTAAATTTCAAGAGTACATAAAACTATTAAAATAGGGTATTCTAAGTTGAGCATTTACCCTCCTTGATGATAGTGGCTGCGTGGCTGCGTGTTCTGCGTTTAACATGGCTCATCTCAAAAAGAAATACATGCCTTCACATCATCGTCTACATTGGATTGGGCCATTTCACGTGTTAGAGGCCGTTATGATCAAGTGTCAGAACTGGAACTAATGGATTCATTATGAATATTATCTCTGACCACACTCCATTGAACTCATGTTTTCCTAGAATATTTATATAGATATTCCCCATTAATAGTTTTTGAAAATTCGCATCTCTTCCCTCTCCCAGCTTCATCCTTCCCCATTTCTCTCTCCTAGTTTCATACCCAAATGAAACCTAAGGTGAACCCAGAACATGCTCAAAATTTTTTTTTATGTATGTTTTTTTATGGACTACATTGAATGGTAGGATTGGTAAATCCTCCTCAACAAATCAGCTGAAGAAAATTTCAGAAAGCAAAGAACATATAGTACCCGAAGGAAAACACAGGCTCCACGTCGACCCTCCACCACTCCCCATCTTCTCCCTCCTTTCTGACCTGCAAACCCCCAATTTCATCCTGCAATAGAAGCGTCAGCAACCCCGAATCGTTGTGCTCCACTACTCCTGTAGTGCCCTCCTGTTCAGGAAAAGTGGATTGTACGGGCAAACCAACGCCCTCGCCTCCAAACAAGTCATTTTGTCCAATCCCTCCTCTCCACCCCCATACCCTCCGCAGCAGCCTCAAAACATGCCGTGCCAGCTTCGTAGCTTTCATGTCCCACCCAATAAGCTCCTGAAGAAATACCGCTGGGATCTTTTTATGGTCCGGCGGCGTAAGGCCCGTCACGATCTGCAGGGTGTAACGCCAGCTGGCAGCGCTGGAGCGATAGAGATCTACCATGGAAACATAGGAGACGCCACCGCCGTGGTGAGAGTAGAAGCTGGAGCGCTCAGCGGCTGCGAGTTAATAAAAGGATCGGACAGCGGACAGTGCGCGGCGGAGGAACGGGAGGGGAACGGAATGTTTGATGTGATGGAAGAAGCCCCAGTTGCAGGCAGCCGAGATGGCGGCAGAAAGGATAGAAGCCCGGGGCAGGGAAAGGTTAATGATGGGGAGGTGGAGGGGGAGGAATGAAGCTAGGTTTCCGTTGATGGAAGAAGAAAGGGATTGTGCTGGCACCACCATAAACAAGACATTTTACGCCAGCTTTGGTCACGCCAAACGCCCGCCGCGCCTCGATATGACCATCCTTGTCATCTGACGGTGGACGCGATCTTCGGTTGATTTTTTTCTTCACGTGAGAGCTTCCGATTTCTGACTTCTAGTAGCGACCGCCCAGCGCCGGGTACCACCAGCTTTGTATGAGTGGCCAGAAATTGAAAAAATTAATGTAAGATTTATATGCGTATCACTTGATTTTTATCTATTTACATGCTTAATTTTAATTTCAATAAATAAATAAATATATATATATATCTATATATGTGTATATATATAAACACACAATATATCGCCATATTTATACATAAAAATGATGTCTATTAGAAAATTTGCAGCGTTAAAATAATGAATTATCGTTTTAACTTTGCACTAGAATTTAACAAACACTCAGGTAAAAAAAAACAATCAGTAATGAAACTAAATTTTTTTTATGTGGAAAATCAATAAAGGGAAAAATTACATAGTCTGATCCAATAAAAATTTACTATATGTTGATGATTACAGAAACCCTTTGTTCCACAGACAAGAAATGGTTATTAGATTTTTAAGTTACAACGCTAACTGTTGGCTTCCGATCTGTGGTGATCGACAGCTACAATAATGCTCGAAGGTGTCAGAGGTTATCGATGATGGTCAGCAATAGTCGACGATAATAGGCGGCGGTTGACGGTGATCGACGGTGGTCAGCGGGTGTTGACGGGCATCGACGGTCGGTAGTGGCCTTGGACTTTAGTTTTTTCTCAAAACTTTAAATTCTTTCTCAGGCCTCAAACACCCCCCCTCCCCCACCCCCCTTTTCCCCCACTGAAGGGAGTGGTGAGACTCAATTTATATTATTTTTGGTGCAATTAAACCAGGGATATGAACAATTTTGATCGAACAATCCAGAGAGTTTCCTTCGATCAAACAGTGTTCGATGGATATTTGAGTGTCTTAATGATATTGCAATTGAGTAATATATGACTCAATAGATTTGTCTTATCGGGATGCTTGATTTGACTATAGGTTTGCTAGATTTGACATTTGTTTAACTTCTAAATATGTCTGACAAACTTTCAAGAGTGGTTTAATGACTTAATATGAGCTTGATTTCACTCGGATTAACCTAATTTTAGTAACATTGACTTCTTCTTGTTGATCCAATCAGTTTGACTGTATTTTTGCTGAAATCAAAATTCTTGATAGTTTTCTTCTCAAGGTTTGAATATTTTTGTCTCAAAAAGTTGCATCGAGATCCGTGTCTTTCCTCTGGCGTATCAAAAAAAGTGTATTTTACTGTATAAAATCTAAAATAGTTGTAATTTTAATATGATATGAATGACTTGTGTGGTATAAACGCACAAAAAATAAAGTTATTGTGTTATAAAATATTAAAGCATTGGGTGTTAGTGGGTAAATTCAATTTTCTTTCTTATTATTGCTTAATTCTCCAAACTATATGCATCTTAAATAAATTCCTCAAATAATCATTGATTCGTTGATTATTTTGTTCAATTTTTAGGTTTTCAAATCTTTTATTTATTTATAATTCTTTTCTTACATGTGCATGTGAGTTATATATTTATCATTTTAGAAATAGCTTACTAATTATTTTTTGGTTTTCATATCTTATTTTATTTTATTTTTTAATAGAACCCCTTAGGGGAAATTTATTCCACACAAAAAAAGATTATGAAAGAGAGGCAGGAGTACCCTACTAAACTCCCATACAACTCACACTAGAAAAAAAAATCTAAGGTCCTCTCCCTAAAAAAAAGAAAAAAAAAAAAGAAAAACAACTCACCTCATCTATGTACCCAAAAGAGAAGAAGAAAGAAACAAAATAACCATTAAAGTAAATCGAAAGCCACTAATTTATTTAAATCTAAAGGCACACATAAAAAATATAGTAGAATAAAGTAAACTTCTCAGTTTAGCCGCCCAGTTTGCAGCTTTATTTATATCTCTTCTTGTATGGGTCCAGCAAATGCATAACTCTTTAGTCAACTAAAAATTCTCTTCATCTGCAAGTTTATGCTCCAATGATACTCCTTATTTAACCTGCAAGCAATTCAAATTAAAAAAGGATCCATCTAAATATAAATATATTTCCAACCATACTTCCTGGTTATCATCAGACCGAACACCACTGCCTCAGCTTCAGCCATTAAAGGTGAAACAGGTAAAGCAACAACAGTAAACTAGACAATAACTATACCTAAAAAGTCTCTGCAGATACCACTAACACTTGCTCTATTAGTATTCCAACTACCATCCACATTTATCTTGATGAAAGAAGCATACGATATAGACCAAGTAACGGGGTTATGTCTAATAGTAGGAATACATTGATCAATATTAAAGTAAGTCATGACATTCTTTAACTTGATATTATTCTTCCCTTTACTAAAATTATGATAAAGGCTATTAGAATTGTAATTAGTAATAATACCAACAGTATTATTCACATTAGATATATCATTTCAAAATTTACTAGCATTCCTAATATACCAAACAAACCAAAAAATAATCATGGGAATATTAATGAAAAAAGCATGCCGAAGAGAATTTCAATCCCTATATATATCATTAACATCCTTTTAAATACCCACAATCCAATTCTTATTGAAAATACTAGTAACATTCTTCCAAATTTTCACAGTAAACCTACATTCCATAAAAAATATGATTAATTGATTCTTCATCACCTCTACAAGTAAGCAAAGTGAAGAAAATCTAAGTCCTTTAAGTTTAAGGATATCATATGTCGGCAAATTTTTGTGAAATATTTTCTAAATGAAGAAGGAAAGTGACGGATTCACCCATTTGTTCCAATTCCATTTAAGATCAATACCCTGGAAAGAAAGAAAGAAATTATCAAATGTCTTGGATATAGTATCCATAACTTTAACTTTAACCATAGGAACATCCCTATTACCCCTCATAACAGTAATATTAGAAATAAATTTGGTATCATTATATCTTAGGACCTGTTTTAATTTGTCAATGTTCCAACTATTACCGTACCAAAAATCATAAACTTTAATTTTAATATCTTGTGAACACCATAGCAATCCACCAAGTACCAGCCCCTAACCGGTCGCTGTACCAAAATGAGACATCACAATTACTAATGTCCCAACTGATAAGATTATAAGTTAATCTAGAAAATTTCAGCATTCATTTCCAAATATAGGAATCATACGTAGAATGAATAAACTCAAGAGGATGCATATTATTACAATGTTTAGAAGACATAAGAGAACCCCAAATAGAATTCAATTGTTTAAAACAATACCATAGCTTCATATAACAAATCTCGATGGAATCCTCTAATCTTCTAAAACTTAAACTTCCTTTATCTAGAGGTTTACAAAGTTTATTTCAACTTTTCCAACGAATGTTTTTTTTACCATTACTATCCCATAGATATTTATTAAATAAATTTTCCATTTTATTAACAAAACCTATGGGCATGTTCATTACTTGCAAAACATAATGAGGCATAGAAGTTAAGATTGTTTTAAGAATAGTAATTCTTCCCCCAAAGGAAAGGAATTTATTCTCCCAAGATACAATTTTATTTCTAATTTTATCAAACAAACTTTTACAAACAGCTTTTTTTACTAGTTTTATCCAAGGTAAAACCCAAATAAACTAAAGGGAGCAGAACCTTATTACATTTAGTATAATGCACCATTCAATTCTTCTTTGCAGTAGAAACATGTTTAGAACGATAAATATGACATTTAGAAGTGTTGAAACACATACCAGATGTTTCTTGAAAGAGGCCATTTTCCTTCCAAATTTTTTTTTATTAAGTTTTTAGAAGCATTTGAAAGATATTTAAATCATCTGCAAAACTTAAGTGAGAGATACCAATCATATCTTTTTAAAAATAATACAAGTGATGTGGGGTGGATTTAATGTGTTAATTTTGCAATTATTTTTCAATATTACAACATACACACGGCTAATACAATAATAAACATGCAATTTAATCACAACAAAAATAACTTTAGTGAAATAGTTTTATCTTCTAAAAATCCTTAAATTACCAAATCCCTCTAAAAATAACGCAAGTATATATATCACTCAAGTAATAAATGGCTCTAGTGGAGTCCTAGATATTGATTCCACAAAACAGTTGGAAATTCTTATAAGTAAATTCTTAAGATTATAATGTAAACTACAATTTTAAATTACAAATGTGAAGTACGAAATTTGAATCTAAAGTAAATGAGTGAATGCTAAATAAAATGCATTTAAAAAAATAAGTTGATTAAACTAATTGCTGAACTTTCAACAGTAAAATTTACGAAAACAAAATAAAGTATTTGCGGTGAAAATTTCAAATTTACAAAAGCATCCTTTCCCTTTTCAATGAGTGTATGGATTGTGAAGAAATTAAAATCATTAGAAAGTTTATAAATTTTTTTTGTGCTAAATAGGAGCAATCCTATTCTTTACTCTCTTTTGAGTGCATAAAAAACATTGATTAATCCAGAGTTTGGTCCCTAATTTGGTGCTTAGGCTGGGAGGATAAAAGCTTCCACTCCAGAGCTCTCACTACTCCCTCACCAGAGGGCTAATAATCTCGTATTAGTTTCTAATCAACTAGACCAAATTGGGGTTTTTAATCTGTCATCTTAAAATCTCTAATTCAGCATCCAACAAAGTTTATTTTCCTATTTATTTGCACTCAAACTCGTAGATGGCATCCTCTCTCATGGAATTAAATGTGATTCTTCCCATATTGTAAAAATCATAGCCCTTTCAGAACATATGCTTCTCAACACATTTTATCATTTTAATTGGCTAGATCGAAAAGTAAATGAAGATCGGTGTTCAAATCATCACAAATTATTGACATTTAAAACAGTATAAAATAGAATCAATTCTTCACAAAACCATATCTCAAAGTAGGGAGAAGGATAAAGAAGGCTACTCAGAATTTATGAGAAGAATGCGATAAAACACAGATTTCATATATAAAAATAAGTTTACAAAACTAAGAAATAAATGAACATAACTTATCTTCCCAAGCAAATCCCTATAAATTCTTTTCAAGCACTTTCCCTCTTTACAAGCACTCTCAATTTTCTCTTAGAAGTGTAATGA